AATAGATATTTTATCGATCAATATATTAGTTAGAGTATTTGGGTCTGTACATAAAAATAAATCGTCAAAAACGTTTAAATGTAGACTGCTTAAGGCGGCATTAAAGTCAGTTACAGATTTTGTTTTATTAGATTTGCTTAAACTACTGTTGCCCAGTAGAGTCATATTGTGGTCTGTTATAGTTGTATCGAGAATAGCGACGAAAGCGGTTGTTCTTTTTTTATCAATTTTTAGCATAAAATGGTCCAAACAACGCAATCCTCTGGTAGGAATATGGTGGCCTGGAAGTATTTCATGTGTAGCCAAAGCGGTCAGATAAAGATTTCTGTTATTTTTTTCATAGCTTTCATCATCATCATCATCATCACAGCCCTTCACAAGTCCACTGCTGAACATAGACCTCCCCCAAGTAATGCCACCAAGCACGGTCCTGAGCCACCTGCATCCATCGACTTCCTGCATATCTTACCAGGTCGTCACTCCATCTAGTGGGGGGTCGCCCTACACTACGCCTACCGGTACGAGGCTGCCACTCGAGAACCTTTCTTCCCCATCGGTTATCGGTTCTTCGAGCTATATGGCCGGCCCATTGCCACTTCAGCTTACTAATCCGTTGTGCTATGTCGGTCACTCTGGTTCTACTGCGGATATCCTCATTTCTGAGTCTATCACGCAGAGAAACTCCGAGCATAGCCCTCTCCATAGCTCGCTGAGCGACCTTGAGCGTCCTCATACGGCCAGCAGTGAAGGACCACGTCTCTGATCCGTAAGTCATCACTGGCAACACGCACTGGTTGTACACTTTAGTTTTCAGAGATTGAGGTATACCTGACGAGAAGATGTGTCGTAATTTCCCGAACGCTGCCCAGCCGAGTTGAATCCGTCGATTGACCTCTCGGTCGAAGTTGGACTTACCTAGTCGGACTATTTGTCCCAGGTAAACGTACTCGTCTACAACTTCGAGCATAGTGCTCCCAACAACTACCGGCATAGGTGTGACATGGACATTAAACATGATCTTTGTTTTGTCCATGTTCATCTTAAGACCTATCCGTTGGGAGGCACTATTGAGGTCATTGAGTATAGTGCTTAAGTTCTCCAGCGATTCTGCCATAAGGACTATATCGTCGACAAATCGAAGGTGAGTGATGTACTCGCCATTGATGTTAATACCGTATCCTTTCCAGTCCAGTAGCTTGAAAACGTCTTCCAAAGCAGCGGTGAAGAGTTTCGGGGATATAACGTCACCCTGTCTTACACCTCTCTGCAGTCGGATAGGTTTCGAGCTCTGGTTCTGTACTCGGATAGCCATCGTAGCCCTACTGTACAAACACTTCAGCACTTCGATATACCGCCAGTCAACTTGGCACCGCTGAAGGGACTGCAGCACCGCCCAAATTTCGACGGAATCAAAGGCTTTCTCATAGTCCACATACGCCAGGCAAAGTGGCAAATTGTACTCTTCAGTCTTCTGTACAATCTGCCGCAGGGTATGTATGCGGTCTATGGTACTGAAGCCTTTTCGGAAACCGGCTTGTTCGGAAGGCTGGAAGTCGTCGAGTCTGCGTGCGAGACGATTCGTAATGACTCTCGAAAACAGCACGTAGACGCGGCTCAGAAGGGAAATCGGTCTGTAGTTCTTCAAGAGAGCGTTGTCGCCTTTCTTAAAGAACAAGACCACCGCACTTCTGCTCCACGCCTCTGGAGTAGTGCCCCCATGGAGGACGGAATTGAAGAGCTTCTGAAGGACTTCAAGTACCGGTAGTCCACTCGCTTTCAGAAGCTCCGCTGTAATTCCATCCTCGCCTGGGGCCCTGCCGTTTTTAAGGTGCTGGAGAGCCATTCTAATCTCGCTTAGACTGACGTCCGGGATATCATCGGAATAGTATCGGATAAGACTTGCTCTTGGATCGTTACTCACACTTGCGTGTGGCTCCAACGATGATGTGTACAGCTGCCCATAGAACCTCTCAATCTCACTCAAAATCTCAGGTGTCCCGGAAACGATGCTGCCACACTCAGTCTTCAGCCTTGACAGTTGGATCTTTCTGGCAGACAGATCTCTGGCAAAGACTTTGGAGCCCTGGTTCCGCTCGATCGCTTCTTTAATACGAGCAGTATTAAAGTTGCGTAAGTCTCGCCGCATGCATTTGGAGATCTGTCTGTTCAGTTGCCTGTATGCTGTCAAATCTGTTGACGATTGCAGCCTCATCTCCCGTCTAACAGCCATGAGATTAAGAGTGTGATCGGAGAGTTTTTGTGTTCTTCTGCGGCGGGTCTTGCAGAACTTAGCTCCGACCGCATGGACAGTTTCCACGAGCTTGTCATTCATATCTTCCACTGCATTGCAATCTTGTAGGCACTGAAAGCGGTTGTGTAACTCGAGCTGAAAGTTTTCGGGATTTTGGATTAGAGCACGAGGGGGGACGGAGCGTTGACTTTATTAGACGAGACCTCTCCAACTTAACGTTTAGGTTCAGTGTGCCTCTAACCATTCGGTGATCGCTGCCAGTTTTCACCCTTGCGATCACTGAGATATCACTGAACAGTTGGCGTCTGGTCGTCATAATGAAGTCAATCTCATTTTTTGTCGAACCGTCGGGGCTCGACCAGGTCCACTTCCTGTGGGGCCGCTTCTGGAAGAAAGAGTTCATCATAAAGAGTCCCTCTTTCTCCATAAAGTCGGCCAGCTGCTGGCCCCTTCGGTTCCGTTGCCCTACTCCAAATTTCCCTAACTTCAGCTCACCGTTTTCTCTTGTGCCTAGTTTTGCGTTGAAGTCTCCCATTAACACCGTGTAGTGGGTTTTGGAGGAATGCATGGCTTTGGAAATATCCTCATACATTTCCTCCGCCTCCTCATCGGAATGTGCCGAGGTTGGTGCGTAAACCTGTATGACCTTCAGCGAATACCGTTTGGTGATTCTGAGTATCAGGTACGCGACCCTCGTCGACACACTCCCAATCTTTACAACGTTGTTGACGAGAGACTTGTGGACGATAAATCCGACACCTCCTTGGGACAGATGGTCGCCCTCCCGGTGATAGAATAAGTTACCGGATTCGAGAATCACCGTGTCCTCCCCCTCTCTTCGGACCTCGGATAATCCTATAATACTCCAGCGCAACTTGTCTATCTCTTCTTCCAGCTCCAGGATCTTCTCGTCAGTCCTCAGGGTGCGTGCGTTAAATGTTGCCAGGTCGAGTCGTCGTAGGTGGCAACCGAACCTCCACCGGAGATTCTTAGCACCCCCTGCCCCGCCGTTACCATGGTCGCCACCGTAGCCAGGAATAGCGGGGCCGCCGGGGACTGGGGGCCGTCTATTTGTGTAATTGTTCATGGGGGGTATATTGCCATAGTTGCCACGCTTGGCGAGCGGGTTGGCAACCGCAGTTTTTTTTTGTCGTACAGTTGCTGTTATCAGGAAGATGCTGCTGCCCATCTCCTGCCTGTCTCCCTCTGTCGCCTCTTACGACACCCACGGGAAGATATGGGGTAGTGGATATTCTTAACCGCCACTACACGGCGTTATAGCTTTGCTCACACATAATAGGTAATAAATTTATATTAATGTCACCGGCTATAATAATATGACTAGTTTTAACTGAATTTAGATGTAAATCAATAGAGTGATCAGCTTTTGTGATGGAAGGAGAACGATATATACCTAAAATTGTGTATTGATTTATAGTTATTTGTAAACATGAAACTTTGTATAAATTTATTTCATTGACAAGTGCTCTGTAAACATTATTTATGTAAACTACCACACCATCGGTTTGATTTAACTGAGTATTTGTCGAATAGGAACAGTAGCTATGTAAAGTGGGAATTGGTTTATTTTTATCTAACCAGCACTCCGTCAAAATTATTATATCAATGCAAGCTTTAAGTTGCCCTAAGTGTATTAATAGACTGTCAAAATTACAATATATACTTGTTATATTTTGAGCTATAATATTCAGATTTCCATATTTAAAAACAGCATTTGAAGACAAATCATCTATTGAACATCATATTTAAAAACAGCATTTGAAGACAAATCATCTATTGAACATTTTATAGACTGTGAAATTTCTGTGTCGTCTAATTCCTGTAGTGTATTCAGAGAACTATTCATGGACGAAGTAAGAGAACTGCTGGGTCATTAGCATAGAATTTGTATTAGGTTGTGTAATGTAAATGTAATGTGAATATGTGTGTGTAGAATAAATATGTGATTTAATTATTAAACGTATAATTTTATTAAACAGTTTGAGTTTTGTTTGTGTATGAATGTTTTGTATCTGATTTTTGTATTTAATGTAAGTTTGTAAGCAATATAAATTAACTTTGAAGTAACAATATAATAAACCATTTAAACAAAAAATTAAAGAAAAAAGCAGAAAACATGCAGATATAAAATATAGTAAAAGTCATGCCTCATTATGCAAAGTTAGCTGGTGCAATTGTGCTTCATTTGTTACATGAATGATGGGTGAATTTTCACTTTGTCTCAAGTACACCTTGCCGTAAGATGTCCAACAAAACTGAAACCTTTTGGTTTTCACTAGATCTCTTGCCAAAAAGAATAGTCTAGAGCTCTTAGGTGTTAATTGCTCCGATACGAAAATCGGGGTGTCTTCCTAACGAGTGAAACCTAAGTGTTTTGCTTGGAGTTTTGAAGATTTATTCTTATTGTAGCAAAATTTTACATGATCTAAGCAAGGCTGTCTTTTGAATCGTGGAGTTAAGTTCCACGAGAATAGGTGTTTTCTTTTCTCCCTCTTTTTTTCCCCTGGTTCTGAATACATCTTTAACATCTGACTTTAGTATCTCGTAGTTCACTGATTTCGATAAACAGACAACCATCTCTAAAAGGTCTTCTTTGGTTCCATTCTTCTTTTTAGGAACATTCTTTAATTCAATGTCTGTCTTCCGATTTATTCTTAGTTGATCCTCTAGTTTTTCTTCCAAAATTGTGATGGTTTCTCGTTCTTGTTTACTTTTTATCTCTAACTCATTAAAGCTTTCTACGTAATTCCTCGTTTTGTGTTGTTAAGAGGGCAATATTATTTTCAATGTTGGAGTTGCTTTGCTGAATTTCTTTAAAATTAACTTTAATATCCTCAAGTTCCTTTTTCTGGGACGTAATTAAAGAGGTTAAAATTTTTGGAATTTCATCTTTAAGTTTAGTGTCCAACAAGTTACTGACTTCCTCGTATGTCAGTTGTTTCGGAGTATGGTTTGGACTCTTTTCTATATCTAATTGAGGTCCCGGACTCTTTAACATTTTCGAAGGTTGTGCTTTTGATATTGGAGTATTATCGTTTCGGTATCTTCTTGTTATTTGTGTACAGCTACCACACATAAAAGATTTTTTCAGGGAGTCTTTATGTTCTCGAAAGTCAGCTGAAGTGTAATTAGCACACCTATAGTGTAGGTGCAATTTACAGGCCGTACAAGTTAGAAGTTCATTTTGTGTCACAGGTTTTAAGCACGAAACACACTGCATAGTAGTAAAAATTCAAATTGTTTCGGCCGCTTACATCCTAGCAAAAAAACTCCAAATTAAGGTCGTCTCCAGTCCAAGTTAAGGACGCCTCTATTCTAATATATTTACGAGATAATATTACTAGGATAATAAATGTTAAAGAGATTACCAAAATCGCAGAGCCGATTTCTTGCACTATAAGATCGTTGTTGCGTGCGTTTCATGTACCAGAGCGGCAAGAGGCGCAAGAGTTTCGTTGACTAGATGTGTTAAGTAGCGCACACACAAAGATGTTACACTAACGTAGAGATTCGTTGAGTTGACGTGTTACGTAGCGCGCAAACAGAGATGTTGCGCGTACGCAGCGATGAAGCGCGGTGACGCACCGCACCGCAGATGTTGTACGTAGAGAACTATCAGCAATCCTTGCACTACTCACACTTTATGAACTCCTATTATTTGTCACGGATTTAATTTTATTTTATAATATTCCTTTCTAAACGCTTTTGAACCGTATTCATTGATGAAATTCAGAGATCGTCGAATATTTCAAGTAATTCAAGGATAAGAAGTTATTTAATCTCTGTGCAAGTTCAAGTTTCGCTGATACCACTGAGCTCCGGTGGCTATGCGAATGGATCAATTATTGACAACTTGACCGTCGTATACATGATTATGAACCGCGTGCGTGAAGGCTACGCTGGCGTAGTACATGATAGGTTTCACGCAAGCTTTTTAAAGGTGCAGTTTGTGTTTTAGGGCCAGTTTGCTCTCACTGTTAACTAGCGAGTGGAGTCGACTAGTGACGAATTTGGAACGACTGCGGACGGTGCGAATGTGTTCTGCGTAGGTCATTGCTTGGTCGAATGTGGCCTCAAGGTATTTAGTGGTGATGCACCACTGGCGTTTGGATTGCTATCCTTCTCTCCAACCGTGATGGTCTCTCGACACTCCATATGATTAATCTTTGTGATCTCATCAATGACTCCATCTAACACTGTGAGTGTTAATGTTAGTGTGAAGTTAATGCTAAGGAAGTCATTTGTAAATGTAAAGAACAGTTGAATGTAGGTCACGCTTTTTGGTCTTGTATTAGAAAGATGAAGGCACTGCAGGGTGAGGGGTAGCTACTGCCCCCAGAAGAGAGGCTACGCCAGTAGTCGCCGCTGCTACCTGGACGTATGTGGGTTTTTTTTAACGCTGTTGGTAATTTATTTCTTGAGCCCGACCATTTCTTACCGGACGCATGCGCCTATGTTTTCCTTTAGGTGGTCCAAAGGTGGTGCGTTGGGATTACAATTGGTTGTCGCTTTTATGAGGCTTTGCGTCGCCTTTAATAATTCTGTAATAGCATTTTTTGTAAACATTTTGCTTGCTGACGTTACACTCTTTTCCTGTACTGCTTTCCTGTTAACTTTCTAATAGCTGGAGCAAAGTTTTCTATGTCTGTGACATCCTCAGCTGAAGCCGGGAGGGAGGGAGGTGAATTCTGAGACAAAGGCATCGTGTCATCATTTAATTAAACTGTCGGGAAATGTGGCTGTACTTTGTCACCGTGTCACTTGTCATCACTTTGATGACCGGTCACCAACTGTCGTCAGTTTGTCATCAATGTAGTGCAGTGTTATGTAACTTGTTATCGGTTGATTCAGGCATATTTGAATACAATAAACCACGAGTAACACAATATGAACCTTGTGACATGCAATTCAATAAAATAGCCCGTATTCTCACTTTTTGAGTATCTGTGATATCGTATGAAATAAAGGCTTAACCTCACCTGTCATGCGGGCCCCTTCCAACGCCAGGTCCGTAGCCTCTATTCGCGTCATTGTACGTGCCGCTTCTATCATAAAGGTCGTCGTAATAAGGCCTCCTGTAACCTGTATATTCATATCCATCGTACTTACTTCAGTCTCCTTCGTCGTATGTATTTGGGTCTGGGTAATATCCATCGTAATACGGCCTCCTTTCTCTATAAAGATCGTCCACTGAAAGTGGTGTTTGAAATTTCACCCTCTTCCTTTCACTTTTTACAGCAGACACAACTTTCTCACATTGAACACACTCATCTTCGTCTATTATTTTTCTATCTCTTTTAACTTCTCACCAGTTGATTCCCATTTGTGAATACAATTATTGAGACTTTTATTAACTTTATTTGAATGCACTGCTGATATAGTTCTTTTAACAGGATGTGCTGTTTTTTGTAGAGGTTTTGTGTGTGCATCAGAATGTTTTTGCTTGATTATTAAATGTGAATCTTTAATAATATTACTTGAAAAGATAGGATACTGATAAGGTTGATTTAAAAAAGGTTGTAGACAATATATGCTGGTATTTGAAAGTTGTTTAGTTTTCAATACTTTCACTTAATCAGGGCTTTTGCTTGCTTGTGCTGTTTTAAAACGACTTGAACTGCTTAAACATAATTTTAAAAAATAAGGTTTGCTTTGTAAAAGTGCATTTTAAAGATTAAGGTTTGTTAGTTTTTTGCGGATTAAGAAAAAAGTTGAGGAACGATGACAAAGGTAATTGATAATTTATTTATTTATTTATTTATTTAACACCAACAAGACATACACTAACAAAAGCATAATATTTTTTGCAAAAAATCATAAAAACTAAGTGTAGACTTAATTATAGGTGTTACACACATTTCATTACAAAAAAAAAACACAAGTAAAACATGCAGTGAATTAAATTGAATACAAAAATTAAGAGATCAATAAATATATCAGAATTTAGTGTTATATAATTAATTAAATTAAATCATGCATATTCCACTATTGTTATTAACATTAGAAATTTTATGAACGTTAAACATAACAAAAATAAAATCATTAATAAATTATAATATACAATCATTTCCTAATCACAATTTAGCTTAAAGAAAAATAATATAATTTTACTGTGAATTACAATTATTTGAGGAATATAAATGTAATAAATCACGTTTAAATTTCCAAAGATTATCTGAAAATATGTCAATATCAACTTTTCTATCTTTATTTTTGTTATCATTAGTCATTATGGCACCAATACTATTCTTATGTGATAATTTATATATAGCATTAAAACTCAACATCAGTCTATTAATCGGAGAATAGCGCGCTTGACGAGAACGTGTGCTCTTTTCTACGAATGGTATATAAGACGACGGCCTTTTTGACTTCAATGCGGTACGAAAATTTAATTTGGCTAGTAAGTAAGAACTATCAATGACGCCATTCACCAACTTATACAAGAAAATAAGGTCAAGGAGCTGTCTTCGATTCGAAAGTGGCTGAAGCTTAAAGTATATAATGACTGCTTTTTGTCGGGTTGTGTCTGTTTTCTGATCATATTAATGCAGCTAACGTATTGTCTTTTACTACTCCATACGTCTCAGGGCCTGCGGACTTGCTGAGTCCCAACCGATGTACTAACTGTGTTTGTAGCACTAGGTGAGTGTGTAGTGTTAGTGCGTGACTGGTCGTCTGAATCTAGCGGTACTGGGGGTTGAATTGAGTCGTTTCTAGGCCTCTGGAGATTTTATTTACGTTTGAAGTCAGAGCGTAAATGGTTGCATTTACTACTAGTGGATTCGGATGTGTCTTAGCACTCTCTAAATAGCGCCGACATTTCTTTGAAATCAAATCAAATCAAAATCAAAAAAATCTTTATTCTCAAACCAGTAATACTTAAAATTAAATTCATTATTGGAACACTCCTTTTAAGTTCGTAAACTTGTGTTAGAAGGTTCCGCTCTTCCCGTCCTTCATTTATATAAATTAGTGTTTAGAACTTGGGTAACAAATAGATTTTTGACTTACAGTTAAACTTATGTAGTATTTTTACAATAAAATATCCGTTGGTGTTAGTTGTGTGATTGTGTAGTGTATGTGTATGTGGTGTGTGCATGTTGATGTATGGTATGGTATATTTAGTAAATTATTAATTATGTGTAACAACAACCATTTTATTGTTTTCTTTTTAACTTCTATGCTATGCAATGGATATATGCTTAAGATTTTATTTATTTTATTATATAAGTATGCCCTTTTCTCATACTGGGATATAATAAGTAAGAACAGATTGAGCCAGTGCTGTATATACTTTGTTCAGTAATTTGTTGGTTGTTACATGTCTTAACTTTTTGAAAATCCACATTAATTGTTTTATGGACCAGTTCCTAATTCAATATGGTTATACCAAGACAGTCTCTGGTCAATAACACCACCTAAATATTTTGTTTTGTCCACTCTATCAATAACAGCACAGTCACAATTAAAAAGTAGGCTGTCTTGGCAAGTGTGTATTTTAATGCCGAAGTTGGCTGGAGGTTGAGTGTAATTGCAAATAGCAAAAGAAATATAATTTGTTTTATGCGTGTTTAATGAGAGTAGGTTGTTATTTAACTAGGCCGCTATAGTTTTAAGTCCCGATTCTGTACGCATTTTCACTTCCTCCCAAGTGTATCCCGAAAAAGTAACAGCTGTATCGTCAGCATAGGAGAAGATGTGACCGTGAGTAATAGAAAGTTTGCACAGCTCATTAATATGGACCAAAAACAGCGTAGGTCCTAAGACGCTACCCTGAGGGATGCCGAAAATAACATTTTCTTCGTCACTCAACACAGCGTCCACATGAACACGCTGAGTGCGCTCATGTAGGTAGCTGAACATCAGGTTTAGCGAAGTATCTGAAGCCGATAAGCTCCAAAAAATTTAAAAGATCAGGAATAGAGACCGTTACAAAAGCCTTTCTCGGGTCTAAAAATACTGTAATACATTTTTTGCCATTATCTAAATTCTTTACGATTAAAGAGCTTAATGTGAGAATAGCGTCTTCTGTGGAAAGTTGTTTTCTAAAGCCAAATTGTTGATTTGATAAAATATTATATTTATTTAAGTACTTTAATATCCTAGTATTTAAGATTTTCTCTACAATTTTGGACAAAGCTGGTAGGACATAAATAGGGCGGTAGTTATTTATATCGTCTCTGTTTCCACTTTTATAAACAGGTGTTACTAATGATT